AAAAAAAAAAATGCAGTTTTCTGTACAGGGGGAAAAAATGTGGTTCCTTGACATCATATACCTCTAGTGGCAGCAGGCTGAAATAACAAGCTCTCGGAAACATTGCAAAGGCTTGCTGAGAGGTTGATTCAATAAAACCCGATATGAACTGCACCACACATCAGAAGGCTGTAGCCAGGCCCACGTATGTGGTGTGCCCTGACGTCTAAAGACCAGTTTAGGAGTAAGAACATGTCAGGAAGGCTTGCAAGATAGTAAAAGAATAGGATTAATTGAATCGTGTATTCTAACATGTCACTCATTGGGATAAGCTTCTATTCAAAACTGGCAATACTTGAAATAAAATACGTGTCCCCCCACTGAAATACATCTGCATGGTTCGATGACAACCGCTGGATCTCGCCAAAGCCCACCGGCTCGCCGCTCCGTCACTGATCAGGCACAGTCCCTCCTTTGGTCATAGGCAGAAAGATACTTAATTTCCAAGCTATAAACCCCAAACTCTTGTAAAGCGCAGTGTGGATTCGCAAACGTGGGGGGCTCGGGCAGACTTAGAGCGGAGCCGGTGGAGCTACAGGCCGGAACCCCGGCCAGCTTCCTTCGGTTGGACTTTTCCTAGGCGTTATGCTGACTCTGTTTTCAAATAGGGAAAGAAGAACCAGAGCAGAATCAGAAACAGCTATTGATCCCCAGTTTGCCTTTCAAGTCAGGCAGACACTGTGAAAGTATTAACTTCTACGCGGTAAGTGAGCCCGGCGCGCGGCGGCCACGCTCAGCTCCGGCGACTTCAGCACCGCGCTCTGGACAGCGACCCCGGCCGCGCGGCTCCGGCCTGGGTCTGCAGGTCTCTCAGCAGCTGTGCAGGGAGACCCGGCAGAAACGCTGCAAAAACTGCCCAAGCGCCAAACGGGACGTCGAAGCATGAACTTTCCTGCCGACGCATGGCGGCCAGGCTCCGTCCTGGTTATCTGGAGGGACAACGGCCGCCCGGAGGAGCGAGCGCGAGCCGGCGGGCCGGCGCCACCGGGCCGGGCCAGAGGCGGCTGAGGGGCCGAGGGGCCGGGCG